GCAGTAAATTTGAGAACAATGCTGAATAGTAAGTAAAAGGCCCCCCACACCAGTGGCCCCTCAGCCTTATTTTAAAGCTAGCAACAACTCCTTCTCTACCATACTGATTAGGACCTCAGATTTAGAGTTAGTACCTCAGAGATCATCTAGTTCCACTTTTTCATGAGGATGAGATAAGCAAATTGAGCCCCAAAGAGGGGAAATTACTTAACCAGAATCATTTAGGTAGTATTACCTGAGTGTTATGATTCAAACTTAGGTTCTCTGTTTCTAACTACACATTCTTTTTTTGGTTATTGTTGGGGTTTTTTTGGAGGGGGGGTTGGGCAATGGGGGTTAAATGACTTGCCCAGGGTCACACAGCTAGTAAGTGTTATGGGTCTGAGGCCAGATTTGAACTCAGTCCTCCTAAATCCAAGGCCAGTGCTCTATCCACTGTGCCACCTAGCTGCCACCTAGCTGCCACCTAATTACAACATTCTTTCTCCTGAACCATACTACTTTAAAAAAAGAAAGGCCAAGGTCTCCCATTACATCCAGGGCCATCTCCAGTCATCCTGATCTTTATCTTGCCATTGAACCCATTGAAGGAGAAAGTGAGACTGGTGACTTTGCACAGCCCTCCGTCACTTAAATCCAATTCACTGACAAGCCATGGCATCACGTTCCTGATGTCATGGTCCTCTTCTAGAATGGAGGACAAATAATAATAATAGCAACAACTTTATGTCATATATATTACAATCTTGCCTTTTTATGTATAATGGGGACTGCCAAATCTTGACATTGTTCTCCCATCCCCAAGTCAAATGCCATACTCTAGATATGGACAAAGTAGCCCCCTGGGATTTGAATAAATCCATATAGTTGGCAGCAGAGAGACGTGTGTGTGTGTGTGTGTGTGTGTGTGTGTGTTTTAAAATGTATTTCATTCCGAACTTAAGAAATAAAACATACATTTCCATAACACAGTAGAATAGAAAAAAAAGATTTCACATGAAACTACAAGTCTATTACTCACAACTTGCTATTCCTTTCAAATATATAATCATGTAACTTTATTTTTTTTCTTTTCTTCCCCCTACCCTGCCCTAGAGATAGCTAACATAAGACACACACACACACACACACACACACACACACACACATATACACACATATACATATGTAAAACCATTCTGTACATAGTCTATTTATCAGTTCTTTCTCTGAATGCAGACACCATCTTCTTTCATAGGTCCTCTGTAATTAATTTGGGTATTTATAATAGTCAAAATTACTTATTTGCTCAAAGTTGTTATTAAAACAATATTGCAATTACTGTATACAGTGTTCTCTTGGTTCTGCTCATTTCACTCTTCATTATTTCATGCATGTCTTTCCATGTTTTTCTAAGATCCTCAAGCTCATCATTTCTTATCGTACAGTAGTATTCCATCATGATTATTTAGCCATTCCCCAATTGACAGGCATCCCCACAATTTTTAGTTCTTTGCCACCACAAAGAGAGCTGCTATAAATATTTTACAGCACATAGATTCTTTTCCTTTTCCCCTAATCATCTTAGGAAACAGACTTACTAGTGTTATTACTGAGTCAAAGAGTATAGGCAGTTTAATAATTCTTTGGGCATAATTCCAGATTGATTTCCAAAATGGTTTGATTAATTCACAGTTCCACAGTGAATTAGTGTCTCAATTTTTCCATATCCCCTCCAACATTTGTCACTTTCCCCTTCAATCATTTTAACCAATTGGATAAATATAAAAATGATACCTCAAGGTTGTTTTAATTTGCATTTTTCTTATCAATAATGATTTAGAGCATTTTTCATATGTCTCTAAATTGTTTTGCTTTCTTCATCAGAAAACTACCTGTTCACATCCTTTGATCATTTATCAGTTGGTGAAAGACTCATATTCCTATAGGTTTGACAAAATTCTTTATGCATTTGAAATATGAGACCTCTGTCTGAGAAACTGTCCATGAATTTTCCCCCTCATTTTCTGCTTTCCTTCTGATCTTGGCTACATTTTTTTTTATTTGTACAAACGACAATTTTATCTAAACTATATATATTCTGTTTCTTTTTTTACTCATCCTGGCAGTTTATATTTTTGCAAATATTCTTCCATTTCACCTAAATTGTTAAATTTATTAGCATATAATTGGGCAAAATATCTCCTTTTTATTGCTTTGATTTTATCCCTTTGATTTCAACCCTTGATAAATAACACCATCTTTGTGACCTAACTCAACCTTCCTGTGTCCATCTCTAAAATATCTCAATGACATCCAAATTTCCTGCCAGATCTAAATATAATACCTATGAGGTAGGTATTATTAGCACCCCCTTTTAATAGATGAGGAAAACAAGACTCAGAGAGGTTAGGTGACTTTTGCTGTATTTGAATACGTCTTCCTGCTTTGAGCTCTAGAAGTAACACTTACCTTACCAAGGGCATAATTGTAACTGACTGAGACTATATAACCTTAGGGTTGCTTGTAGGCAGATGGTGTTCTTTATCAAGTTTCCTTTTTTCCCAATAGGGACAAGGGAAGAGAGAGAAAGTACATTTTTGCTTATTGAAATTTTTTAAAATAAAATTTCATGAATAATGTTGTGAGTCCCATTTTGTTTATTTGGCCTATAAATAAACCTTCTCAATTTCTGACTTTGTGAACTATGTACTCACAAAGAGAGCTAGTGACACTACTACGACAGAACTCAGATGGTCTGGCTGTGGATATTAAGTAAGAGAAGTGAGAAATCCTTCAAAGTTTTCTCAAATCCTTCTTACCATTGGAGAGCCACTGACATAAGGATTGTATTTGATATGTAACCCATTATCTTCACTTAAAATTATAATTTTAAGTTTTCTTAAAGAAAACTTCCTTTTTTCATTTTCTTAGCTTATATATTACTCCCTAGATTTATAAGTTAAATAAAAATATTCTGAATTTCAACATTTTCATTCATTCATTTTGAATTAGAAAATTCAACTCTTCCCCCGAGTATAATTTCCTCTTAGATTGATACCTGAAATCAAATCTTTACTCAATGTAGAATTTCTTTTGCAAACCCATATTTCTTGAATTGGGGAGTCAATCATTCTTTGGATTTACCTAACTGCTTTTTAACAAAGGCTCTCAAAGTATTCCACCTACACTTTACACCCACCATACCATAACAGTTGCAAGAAAATTAAATTAAAGAGAAATTTTAAGACATTCAGACCAATCATCCTGCATGTTAATTAAAATCAAAAGGGGAGGAAATAGAATGAAAATCTAAGATGATATGATCCTACAAAGAGAAAAAAACTACAGTTTCATCCTAAGGAAAATATTCATGATCATGTAGATGATTGTTGTGGAATTACTTCCTCCCAAATCATTCATGTTCTGATGATGAAAAGTAAACATAAATATAAAACTGTTTGGAATGATTTAGATGCAGGCCTACTTGAAGAAATGGATTTAATGGGGAAAATTTTCAGAGATCATCCCTCCAAACCTATGCAACCAGTCAGGAGTGTAAGCATGAAGTATGGAAGTCTGACTAATGAAGATTTGCCTCCCAGATATCTGCACTCTACTCAGTTCGTTATCTCTTGTTTAAGGAGGTCTTACTTACTACTCTGCTGGTAATCCCATCTAGTAATGGAGATCATAAAAAAGAACCACAACATTTTGAAATAATCATTTCTAGACAGAACTTTCAACAATTCACCAATCACCCTTCTACATTATTTTACTGTCTTATGTTCAGGCATTTTTTTTTAAGACAGTGTTCTTTTTCTTTTTCCCTTCCCTTCCCTTCCCTTCCCTTCCCTTCCCTTCCCTTCCCTTCCCTTCCCTTCCCTTCCCTTCCCTTCCCTTCCCTTCCCTTCCCTTCCCTTCCCTTCCCTTCCCTTCCCTTCCCTTCCCTTCCCTTCCCTTCCTTTCCCTTCCTTCCCTTCCCTTCTCTTCCCTTCCCTCTCCTCTTTTTTTGGCATAGATATGCTTAATGACTCAGTTACTTCCCACTCATGTTAGGTCACCATTATTAAATCCCTCATTTTTTCAGATCAACTGTTCTGTGATTATCTTATCCCTATTCTCACTCAAATGCTGTCTTATGAAGCAATGCACTGTCTGGCTCTGATGTGAAAAACATATTGGGGACCCTTCTACAGGCCAGGGTTCTCAACTCTGGTTATGTGATATCCTGAAGTGACTGCATTTATCTGAAGAGGTGTTGCAATATTCTTAAAATACTGATGTAATAGATAAGAATGCTGGACTTTGAGTCAGAAGAATTTGGGTTCAAATTTCACTCCAAATAATCACTAGTTGTGCCTTATTCCACACCAGTAGCCTACCACTCCTCTGCTTAGAGGAGGGAGAAATGTTTCCCCGGCATTGGCTAGTTCTTGTATTATTATTGTTGTTGTTGTTGTTGTTGTTGTTATTATTATTATTATTATTATTATTATTATTATTATTATTTTCCCCAAAGGCCTTTAACAAAAGATTTGGTTTAGTTCAATTTTTATTTAAAATCTCTCTGAGCCTTAGTCTCTTTACTGGAAAAATGGGGATAATAGTAACAACCACCTTTCAAATGAGAGGATGAAATGAAGTAATGGAAAGTGCTTTGCAAATCTTAAATTATTTTATGAATGTGAGCTATTATAATTATTAATTTACTTTAATAAAATAGATATCCATTTAAGATTTTAAGAATGGAGGAGGTCTGTAAAATTATAAATTTAGGGACCATAGGATCATAGATTTTGAACTGGGAGGAAGCTGAGACCATCAAGTCCAACCCCTTCATTTTGAAGATTAGGAAACTGAGGCACAAAGAAGTAAAGTGCCTTGTCCAAAGTTATACAGCTAATAAGTGTGTGAAGTGGGCTTTGAACCCAGATCTTCCTGATTTCAAATACAGTGTCCTATCCACTACACCATTCTACCTCTCAGTCATCATCTCATTTAATGTCATTATGTTACAGATAAGGAAGCTAAGGCCCAATAAGGATGCATGACTGCAGGATTCCCAAAGTTGCAAATAATGAATGAAGACATATCAACTGCAGTCAAATGCAGAATGACAACATGAAATGATTAGATTTTCTTCTAACAATGGAGAGAGCAAGGTAAAGTTTAGTCCTTTCCTAATCTGGCCTCTTTCTATTTCATAGGACCCCTGTCCAAATGAGAGTTTGCTACACAGTCAGGGGTAGAATTGTCTACACAGTCAGGGGTAGAATTGTCATGTCAGTCATGGGAAGAATCAAGTCTAGAATCCACTATTCTGAACCCATGGAGCTCACATTTAAGGTTCCTCCAGAAGCATGGGGTTCCATCTGACCAATTAGATCCCACTGGAAAAAGTGACCAAGTCTTGAACTTTTCACCATTCTAGGATCACATCTCGCTTACATCTCACTTACATGAGCTACTTGGGAAATCAGTGGAAAACTCTGCATGTGAAAGAGATATTTACTCATATGCTTGCTGAATGTAATCATTTTAACCCTATTGGTGGCATAGAGTTGAGATAATTAATAGGTCTACATGCCAAAAGGAGTAAATGAAACAATTATGATGCATCATGTCACAATCTTATCTCTGCCACCACCATTTTCAAATAAAAATAACATTTTGCAAGTTGTGAGCCATGCATTTACAAGTGGGGTGCCATGAAGTTGTCATGGGATTTCATGTCTGGGGAAAAATGTGACTGATAATATAACTAGTGCCTTAACTACTTTAGAATATAAAATTGGCACACAGACCTTGTCTGCTCTGTGTACTAATTACTGTAATTTGATTATTATAAAGGTGATAATTTAATATTCACTTTATATGACATAGCCTTGTAACACTACCTGTCACATCAGAGTAAAGTTGCTTATAACATTTTGGTAGAAACTATTATATCTTATCAACAATGTCTTTAGTATCTTAATTATGATATGTCTTTTTTATTTTTACAGCACTTCTTACAAAGACTGGTTCCCAAAGAGAGAACATTAGAATTCCAAGAGCCTTATCAGAAATCTTTTTTTCATTAATTGCCAGTTGCAATTGCTAATACAAGTTCTATTTTTTCCAGGAGTATGTATTAAGAATGGCTAAATCAATTGGGGTAAAATGAAAATTAAGTCTTCATCCAAGCAAAGAACAAAATTAAAGCTTTAGTTAAATGAGTATGAAAAAGGAAGACTGATACATGAGCTAGTCAGTGCAGAGACTAGTGTTGAGACAAATTTCCCTCCTCCTCTCCAGTAGAGAGGTGATGGTCTGTATGTACAGAATAAGCCTACATTAATAGACATAGCCAATGGGTTAGATTGTTTTTCTAAACTATATCTCTTTGTTACAAGAAAATCTAGGTGAGGGGGAGAAGGGAGTAGTACAGTTCTAGCCACTGTATTGGCAAAAGACAATTTTTTTAAAGCATTAATAAAATATTTGTCAAAAAAAGAGAATTCACCTGCATGCTGTTTTGGGAAGGAAGGAAGGTAGGGGGAAAAAATTTAAAACTCAAAAGCTTATGGAAGTGAATGTTGAAAACTAAAAAATGAATTAATTAATTTTTAAAAAGAATCAATGACTTAAAAATGTAATAGTGGTTTGCTTGCAGAAGAAGAATTTATTTATCAACCTACTAAATTAATGTATTTTTCCATAGGGGGCAAATGTTTATGAGAACCAATATAGATTTTCTAGAGCCATTGTGGCCAAAGAGCAGAAAATTATTTGAAGAATTATTAAAAATGTCTCTATTGCATCATATTAAAGCTCTCTTGGAGCCATTTTACAAATGCTTATGATTTTAAGTCAAGGTTTCTGGTTTTTATACCTGCAAAGCAAGAGGTAAAGCAATTATATAGATAAGACTTCCCTGCTATCTATTTTTATCTCTAACAGCCAGGTATTTGAGATATAAATAGAGGGAGTAGAGTGGGGTTTCTTCTTGGGATTACTCAATCATCTTCATTTTCTAATTCATCTTTTAATAGCAGATATAGAAAGTCATTCTTCTGAGGATTTTCAATCAAGGTCAATCCTTTTTGTTGATACATGCAGTTGTTTCTAATATTTCCAATGTATCAAATAAGATTTGACAACTTAATAAAATGAATAAAGATGGCAGGAAAGAGCTTTAGTTCTGAAGTCAGTGTCCTGGGTTCAATGTCAGTTTTGCTATTTACTACATGTGTGACCTTAGGAAAGTCACTTCCTCTTTGATAGATTTTATAGTTTCATAGATTTAAATAGGGAAGGGATATGAGAGAGCATCTCATTTCAAAGATGAGCAAATTGCAGCTTAGAGAGAAAAAAGGTCTCGTGTAAGGTCACCCAAATGGAAAGTGGTAGAGGTAGGATTTGAACTGTGGTCCTCTGATTCTAGGCACAGCACTCATTCTACTATACTACACTGCCATTCTGTACCTCATCTCTTTTCCTCGTGTGTAGGATGAGAGAAGTTGGATTAGATAATCTCTGGGGTCTTTTTCAATTTTAAATCCAATGAATTTATGATGCAGAAAAACAACAAGCAAAGAAAGAAACATTTCATTCCAGAACATTGGGAACCAGTGAAAATTTCAAAAAACTAATTTTGAAATCAAGAAAGTTAAGGCCAACTTTCCCCCAATCAGTTTTACAAATGAGTTCACTGATACTAATCTTCCATAAATGTTGATGAGAAAGGGCCCTGGTTGTAGACCCTTCCCAGAAGAATTTGTAATTCCTAACCCTAAACCCTAATCCTAAATCCTTTCAAATGTAGTGACTCAGTGTTCTTTTCAGGCCCTTAGGGGCCGACGGAAACCATGCTCTCATATAAGGAGTATTTCAATGTCTCAGAGATAGACCTGCTTCATACCACTCTAAACAACCCTCTGACAAGGATCATTATGTGACCCGAAAACTGAGGTCTTCCAGAAAAAAAAAAAGCACAGGAAGGAACTTTCTAGAAGCAGACTTGTGACACAAGCTTAAGTAACACAAGAACTCCCGAGACAAGGGATGTCAATGGCTGATACTAGAGCACTATCCCAGAAACTGATAGAAATTGAGAGGTTTCCACAGCACATATAATCAAGCTACAAGTCAACTTCATAAAGTCTAGCTTAAATAAATGGGAAGTAAATAAAAGTAAACAAATAAATAATAAGTACCGTCAGACCTTAGCGAGCGATTCCAACCCAATAAGCTGATGGCAACAATGGAGACCAAGATTGTTGCTCCACTTCTGAGCTTTCATATTGAACCATTGTTTAATTAGGTTTTTGTTGGTGAACAGAAGGTCATTTCTAAATAGGTAGAAAATGTATCTGTTCAAGTTTGTGGGTAAAAAAAAAGTTGGCTGAGAGCCAAAAGAAACATGAATTAGATTAAATGCACCCGGAAGAGTTTGTAAATCAAATAGCTGCTGAGTGGTAAGGAAGTTCTCTTGAGAACAGTGTGTGACTGCATTAGTGCTGCAGGGAGACCAGTTTTCTATTTAATTATCAAAGATATAGTTGGCGCCCACTGGAAAGGCCAAGCATTGACTCTGAGAGTTGGCTGAACTTTGCTATAGCTCTTTTTTTAATTACGATTTTTAAAAAAACTAAGCCACACATGGTGCTTCTCTTACCATAACCCAGGAGGCCTAGTTAAGTAATGCTACATGCTTTCCAATTAAACCATAACTTTCACATGTGCATTTTGTTGTGTGTACTGGCATTATTAACTAAATGTATAACACCTGAACAAATTCTGAGCCCCCAGCGCACAGACTCTGGGAACTACTTTAGCAGTGGGAGGTTGTATTTGTTTTTTTATTTTTTATTTTGAGCTCAACAAAGAATTTAACAGAATTGGGATTAGGACTTTAAAGCAGTAGTGACAAAAGTATGGACTTTGATTAGAGGTGAATCTGAAACCCACCACGAAGTGCTTCTTTTTTATATGGAGGTAGCCCTGGTTCTTGAAATCTATGCCAATGAAGCATATAAACATTGTAGTTCTCCCAAGCTTATTATCATGGTAAATGAAGAGAAGTGGAAAGAAATTCTGGAGAGGAAAAGTCTTGGAGGGAATGTGAAAGCTGTCTTTAAGAAGACTAAACTGAAAAGTGGACAACAAAGAGCTGAAAAATGAAACAGATTGCCAATATTTTTAGATTTATCCTTTGTTATCATTAATAACAGTGGAACCCCCATATTTGAAGTCTAATGCTTTAACCTATATGTGCCATACAAGGAAGTAGGAATAATGTCAAACACATAAACCTGAGAAAAATATCTGACCTAGATCTATACTGGAAGTAGACATTTCTCAAAGCATTAAGGGATTCCTCAGTGATATCTCTCTTTTGGCAAGCTAGAGAAAACAAATAGTAGTTAAAAGATATATATATATATATATATATATATATATGTGTGTGTGTGTGTGTGTGTGTGTGTGTGTGTGTGTGTATATACACACACACATATGTATATGCATACATATGTATGTGTATATATACATATATAAGCTTTATGTATAATATATATACATATGTATATACATACATGTGTATGTGTATATATATACATATATAAGCTTTATGTATAATATATATACATATGTATATACATACATATGTATGTGTGTATATATACATATATAAGCTTTATGTATATGTGTATGTATATATATGTATATGTATATGTGTGTGTATATATATGTATATATATATATATATGCTTTGTAGTAACATAAATGAAAAGGGAAATTTCTATACATACATTGATACACTGTCGTAGATTATTCCACAGCTAGTGGGAGAGTGAGCACCTGGTCAGGGAACACATTTAGTCAGGATACTTAACATTCCCTGGGCTGTATTTTCACTAGAAATGGTCTGTGCCTCCAATGATTCTGCTTGCTTCCCTACAAGACCATTAATTTTCTAGTGTGATCATTGGGCTGTATGCTATTTTCTTTGCTGCTGCTGCAAACTTATAGGGTCCTCATTTAACTAGTGTCTCCGCTGTGCTGCCATCTATTTGTAGAGCTGTTCTCTGATAAATCTCTACTTCCTTCTACTGGTCTTCTGCTGAGTTCCTGCAGTCTTCAGCCTTTGTCACACAAGAGAGAAGGCCTCAGCTCTTTATCCTTAAAAAGTCCAGTGATGATTTTAGCTTTCTTGCGATGGTGATTCAGATCCATAGTTATAGCTAGCCAACTATTCAACCAGCCAATCAGCTAACCAGAAAAGCTCTTAGCCATTAACATTAACATAAATCAAATATAATTCTTCTGCCTCATCTTCCAGTCTTTGAAGTCTTTAATTTTTTCCCTTAAATTGGGGTGAGAAAATTCTTTTCAACTCCCATCATACCCCTGGTTGCTAGCCGGGATCCACGAAAATCATCAGAGTTGACAATCTCTGTCTGCCTTTTCTGCTGGAAATAAAATGACTGCATTTGACCCTAAAAAGAAAAATCTATTTTTAAAAATTTTCTTTGCGTAAGGTATCTACATGTTTTATGTTAAGATCATGCAAGATTCGTTGACCCTTAATAAGCTTATAGGTCAAAGAAAAAGTGCTACAAAAAAGCCAGAAGAAGAATTCAATTCAATTTGCTTGACTATTGAGTACTCACAGTTCGGCTCACACAAAATTTAGCAACAGCTACTACTCCAGAAGGCAAAAGATCTAAGACTAAAAAAAAAAAAAAGAAAAAACCAACACCTAAGACTAACTTACTCAGAATAAATACATAATCCTAATATATAACACTAAGTATAATTCAACAGTAGGGAAATGGACCTTTAATAAAATAGACTTCAAAGCATTCCTGACAAACAGACCAGAGCTGCAGCAAAACCTCGAAATACAAATAAAGAGGAGTAAAGAGAAACATAAAAAGGTAAACATGAGTGAGCAATTATGAGTTATTAAAGAAGGATGAACTGTTTACATTCTAATATGGGGAGATGATACATGCATCCCTTAAGAACTTTATCATCAGGAGTCATAAAGAGAATCTAGTGACACAGAAGGTCTGGGAGTGTTTTTATGAAGTTTTGATGATCTTAGGGGTAAAAAAGGAGAAAAAATGAATATATCAGGGGATGAAAAGGAAAGGAAAGGTTGGTGAAATTATCTCATAACTTGGGTGCACAAGTAGAAGGCTGTACAAATGAGTAGGAGAAGGTGGGAGGAAGTGGGCAATGCTTGAAACTCACTTTTTTCTAACCTAGTCAAACGAGAGAGAAATATATATACAGAATTCAATGCAGAAATACATTTCATTCAACAGGAAAATGGGAAGGAAAATGGAGAAACTTGAAGGAGGATTAAGAAGGTAGGCAAATTAAGGGAGGGATTCCTTTCAAGCAAAACAAACTGTAATAATAGAGGGCAGATTTCAAGGAGGGGTTTAAAAGGTAGGGAATAAAAAGGATAATAACTTGTCATTGGGCTCAGGATAAGGAAAAGAGAAGACGAACCTGAGGAGTAGAATCGT